GGGGGGGGGGGGGGGGGGGGGGGGGGGGGGGGGGGGGGGAGGGAGAGAGAGAGAAACAGAAACATCAGTTGGTTACCTCCCATACACACCCTGACCAGGAATCAACTCCCAGCCTTTTGGTGTATGGGATGACACTCCACCAACTGAGCCACCCATCCAGGGCAGAAGACATTTCTTGGGCTCCAGTCAAATGCTCTTTCCTTTGAATCACCAAGATCTTTGTCTGTGGTATAAATGTTGGAATTGGAAGGATACTCAGAATTTCTCTAAGTCTCAAATCTCTCTTTGGACAGAGGCAGACACTCGGGCTCAGGGAAGCTGTGGCTGGTCTTGGGCTGCAAAAGACTGAGGCGATCTTGGGTCTAGATCTCAGGTCTCTTAACTCCCAGTCTAGAGCTCTAGTCATCTATACTATAGCTTTTGTGTCACCTAAGTGCACAGTGGCTTCCTTAAGTCATGAGTGTAATGTCTTGCCTCCTAAACTGGAGTGTAAGCTAGTAGATTCTTTGAATGGGTGAATTATGGATGGCATTTCTTTCCTAGCCCCACTGTAAATTTATACCATAGATTTCTGGTCATTTTTTAACGCAAAAAGAATAACTTGAATAAAGGAACCCTTTTCACTGCTGTCTACCTTCCCTGCCACCTCTAAATCCTATCATAAGTGAATCATGGGGCGACCATTTAAAGTGAGAATTCTGAAGCCATTTGGTTTCTTGGACTCCCCTTTGAGGTGATCGTTCTTAAAAACAGAATTTGGTTAATGTTTTGGATTATGCTGATGGTTCTGAAGAACCAGCATGGCTGTAAACATTTCCTAAGCAAGTTGGCTATGTTTTTGAGCTTGTGTATTTACTCAAAAGTCATAATGGGGTAGAGAGAAAAAACTGGGCAGGAAAAATATATCCCGAGTCTTAAAAATACACAGCCACAAACCAAATAGGGAGAGAGTTTTTTTTAAAGTCCTTTTATTTCTTTCTCAGTGGTTGTATCACTTGAGTCCTTTGGGGCAATGAAAGAATTAGAACTTGGCCCAGCTGTTCTTAGGGCTCCAGACTGCAGTGCTGATGAGAGAGAGACTCACAATGTTTTGCTCATGGCAGACACTCAGTATTTGGTGATATGATTTGGTATTATATACTCATGTTTCCCACAGCCCCATCTTTCCTTGTTTCAGTTCTCCTCTGGGCCTGCTGACTTTCTGACCATTCCTGGGAGTGACCCAGACTCTGTGTGGCTGCTTACTGCTCTCTCTGTGTTCAGGGAGGAACACACTCCCCTCTGTCTCTCTCAAAGTACAATTTTGAGGTTTAACAGCTCAGCAAGAGACTTTCCCCCCACCCCCCTAATCTTTATTGATTTCAGAGAGAGGAGAGGGGGAGAGAGATAGAAACATCAATAATGAGAGAGTTGTCACTGATTGGCTGCCTCCTGCACGCCCCGACTGGGATTCAGCCCGCAACCTGGGCATGTGCCCTGACGAGGAATCAAACCTCGATCTCCTGGATCCTAGGTCGATGCTCAACTGCTGAGCCACACTGGCTGGGCAAGACTTACTCTTGGTTTTTCTACAGAAAGTGACAAGTTACTCTTTCAGGTGTTACTTCTACTTCTGGTTAGTTCCAGGCTCCTAGATCCTAAAAATGATTGTCCACAATTTTTCTAAGTATCCTCCAATGGGATATTGTTTTAGCCATAGGTTTCCTCTGGACACACATTGAATAGAGATCTCTGGGCCTGTAAAGTGCCATCTTGTTGCAACCCCAGGCCTCCTTATTGGGCCCCCAATTATGAAAATATCTGTGCATCAGGATTAGAACTGGGAGACTTGAGAGTATGGGAAGTTCAAAGACCAATTTGTTGATGTTTGTGTTTAGTTCATCAAGTAATGTATTCATTTCATTTTTAGATTGTCTGTTTCAGCAAGATCTGAAATGCGTGCTGATGAAAAGCTTGTTGATGTTACAGTAGTAAACCTTTTTGCAGAAACTGCACAAGAAGATGAGACGACCGTAAATAATAAAATTGAGAAAGCCATTTCAAGCAACTCTAAAACCTTTACAAGCTATAATAGTAAGTATGAAATAATTTTATTCAAAGTTTACCTAAACACCTACCTACCTTTTTGTAAACTTTTCCACTGTATGTAAGTAGGGGGCAAGAAGAATTGGATAACTGGATCTACAGATGTCTCCTAGAATAGACCTTTTCACCAGTCCATTCTTCCTCCCTTTCTTCTCTCACTTGGCTTCTACTCCTTTCTAACCATCTCCCAAGTCATCAAACTGACCAGTTTGTTTCTCTTTTTGGAAGGTAATCTTGGACAAATAGTCTCTGGAATGGGAAAGACGAAGCAAGGCAAAACAAGAGGGCTTTATCTCAGGTTATAGCTTTGCGAGTGATTAGAAAAATTTTACCTCTACTGCTTCCCCTTTAGGGGGACACACAAGGTCACAGCATAGCTGTAACAATTCACTTTTACTGTATTACAAACCACCCCCAAAACTTAGCGGCCTCTTTATTTATTGCAATGCCATCATTCTGTGGGTCAGAATTTGGATCCGGCTCAGCTAGGCAATTCTGCTGATCTAGGCCAGGCTTGGCTGATCTCTGCTGGGCTCACCTAGGCAATTGCTGTTAGCTGCTGGGTGAGTCAGCTAGGGGCTGACTGATCTAAGGTAGTTCAGCTAGATGGTTTGTCTCTGCTCCACATGGTCTCTCATCCTCCAGCAGCCTAGTCCTAAAGGGTTTCTAAAGCAGCAAGAGGGTAAGTTTCAATATACAGGTATTTCTCAAGTTTCTGCTTACATCACATTTATAGCTGTCCTGATGGCCAAAGCAATTCACATAACCAAGCACAGGGGGACAGGCCCTACCAAAGGGCATGGGTACGGGAAGGCATGAATACATTGACACTATATGACAGCAGTCGTCAGAGGTTTCTCATCTCAGAGCTTACTGTTAAGGCCAGCCCTGCTGGAAGCTCTGTACAACTGGTTCTCAGTCCTGGTTGCCAAATCCAAAGGCCTCTAAGACACAATAGATTTGAGTTGTCTGTAGCATTTGGCACTGGTATCTTTCCCTCCCTGAGGCCCTCCTCACCCTGGGCCTCCACCCACCGTTCTCCTGACCCCCTTCCTGCCTCCCCCATTCTTCTTTGTGATCCTTCTAAGACTATTTCTTTGGTCTCTTAAATTTTTGCTTATTAATGATTATAACCTCCTTGGCCTAGGGTGCAAAACTTCTCTTTCTGAGAATATAAACAAGTCCTGTTCATTTATAGTTTTCCAGCGCCTTTTCTCTTTCTTCAAGATTTCACAGAGATCCTCACTATTCTCTCAGGACTCGGAATGTCAGTGCTCTATGATGAGATGCTTAGAAGTCCACCAGGAAAGATGGGGTCTCCTCTGTACTGTTCGCTCTCCTTGGGCTGCAGTCCCTTCAGCAATGTCCATTCAACTCTTCTCCACCTAAGTGTCATTTCCTGGCAGAGGAGACGAGAAAAGTAGCTGTGGAGCCATCCTATTTTTCTTATGTTGTCCGTAACATAACATCAACCGGCCCTGGCCTCTCCTTGAGCCCCTGTAGCATGGGAAACACACACACACACACCCCACCCCACCCCCTCCATTTATTTGCCTATTTTCCCACTTTATCCCTTTGCTCTCTGTTGTTGGATCTTGTTATTTTGGGTTTTGTTTGTGGCAAACCTGAGCTCTTTTGGGGCTCTAGCCTTTCTCTGCCACATTTTTAATATTCTGTCTTTGGTTATGGGACCTTCTTTCCACATTTCACTTGTGTCCCATTTGACAGCTTCCTGTGCAAACCATGCCAATTTCTTAGACTACCAGACCCTCTCCCCGCTTGTTTTTTTACAGCTCACTTAGCAGCTGCACAGCTAGAATTACATTTTCAGAGTTTCTTACCTTCTCAAACTATTTTCACCTTCCACAGTCTGATCCCACAGAATGACACCCTTTCCTTCCTGAACATTTCAATATGCACTCTGTCAAAGGCACACTCCTCTCTCTGGCTGTCACTTTGTTCTTGTATTCCAAGGGACCTATTGCTTCCACCTGCCAAGCGATTTCTCCTTGGGTCAGAATTTGGTGCAGAGCAGCAATTCACACAGTCCCAACCTCTACTCCCTGGAAGAGGAAATTGTCAACAAGGCAAGATGAACCTTAGCATGCACTCTGCTTTTGGCGAGATGACACTTCTAGCAAGTGTGAGGAAGCTGAGGGTCCCCGTCAGCATGAAGACTGACCACTCAGAGTGGTTGCCCACTGAAAATCGTCGGTGCATTCTTCAGGATAAAGATGGGGTGCCTGTGTAATTCTCTCAGTTTGGCTCTCCCTAGTAACTGCCTTGGCTCTAAGCCCTGGCATACTTGAAACCATTTGACCTCAGCTGGGGAATTGCTCTCTTTTGACAACTCCTTTCAACATCTCTCCACTCTGAGACCAGGCATGCACTCTTAAATGCATTAACAAATTACCAAATGGTGCCAGTTAGAGGTGGCCACAAAAGCATGAACCGCCCAGCAAAGGGAAGTGAGAGGCTAGGAACTTTGAGGGGAAAACACCTTTTCCTGCTTCTGCTGCAAAGACAGATTCTGTCTTCTGTGTCAAAAGTTGCACAGTCTTTTTCTCCAGACTTTTAATTGGAGGCATTTTTAAATAGATGAAGAAGGAAGGTTTGTTACAGGTCTCGGACGATTAGAAGAGAGTAACCACAGAGCTGTTCTGCCTCCTATTCTCTCCCCCTAATCTAGTCTCAGATTCATCTTTTTATTCTGAATGCCTTCCAACCTGCTTCTAGGTTAACATTCTTTTTTTAAGTTTATTTTTTCAATTACAGTTTATATACAATATTATATTAGTTTCAGGTGTACAATATAGTCTAGTACCCTGATAAGTCTAGTACCCATTTGGCACCATACATAGTTATTACAATTTATTGACTATGTTCCCTGTGCGGTATTGTACAACCCTGTGACTATTTTTATAACTGGCAATTAGTACTTCTTAATCCCTTCCCCTTTTTCATCCACTCCTTCAGTCTCCCTCCCATCTGGTAACCATCAATTTGTTCTCTGTATCTATGAGTTCGTTTCTGTTTGTTTGTTTTCTTTTTTATATTCCACATATATGTGAAATCACGTGGTATTTATCTTTTTCTCTCTGACTTATCTCACTTAGTACAATATCCTCTAGGTCCATCCATGTTGTCACATATGGCAAGATTTCATTCTTTTTGTGGCTGAGTAATATTCCACTGTATGTGTGTACCACCTCTTTATCCATTCTAGACTAACATTCTTAAAAGATTGCTTTATCATGCCATGCTACTGCTTAGAATCTGCCAACGGATTCTCAAGCTTGTAGGATTAAAGCCCTTGTCCTTAGCCTGGCATTCAAACCCTGCTATAGCTGTGAATGAACAAAAGAATGATTATTTGCTGAGACTCCTGCAGTGGGATTGCATTTACATTAGCTCATTCAGTTCTCACCACAATCATGTGCAACAAGAATTACCAGCCCCATTTTATAGATGGAGGGAACTTGGACCCACCAAAAATCAAATGACTGAACAGAGAGAGCCCACAGCCAATAAATGGCACAGCCAAGAATTTTCTGTTTTCTTCTACTTTACCACACCACCCTGCCTTTCCCCTACCCAAATCCAGCACCACTACTCCCTGACAAGAATTCTTTGCTTCTGCTCATGCCTTGTTTACTCTACTTAGAAAGACTTTGCCTTTCCTTTGTTCAGATCTTCCCTATCTTTCAAGACAGCCCAGTTCCCATCTCCTCCATGAAGTTACCTTTAGCTACTTGAGCCCCCGAATTCCCATTGTACTTAAAGTCTGGAGGATGAGTTGCTTGAAGCAACTCCCTATGGGCTCAATCATGTAACTCTACAAAGATGGGACCCAAAAGATATATAGTTATGGTGTCCCCTGTGGAACCCAGCATAGAGCTTGATGCATAAGAGATCTTGAACTGGAACGTGACTGCAGTGCTTTGGATGGAATTCATTTGAATTGAATAATGTAAGGAAATAATCATGAAGAGAGGATTGGGGGGTTGGGTTTTAGAATCCCAGATTTTTATCTGTTAAATCACCCAAACTTATTAAAAGGCAACTATAACACAAATATATTTGGAATTATTTGTGCCCCTCAGAGCAAGATCTGTGTGATTTTTATGGTTGTATAAAGACGAATGACCAAGATAACTGCAACAGTGGCCTACTGTGTACATGCAAACCAGGGCTGGAAAGGCCCAACCCACAGACTCCTTCATGTCTTGGTAAGTGTCCCACCTGCTTCTAAAGGTTCTTCAGAACCCCTATCCTCTCTCCGTTCACATTTTCAGATTCCAGCCTTACCGCTCAAGTGTCCAGGTGCATTGCCGCTTCTGAGCGGTGTGAATTTTGGCTTTAGACATACGGCCCTGAAGTGTGGCCTTGGCCATGGTGAGGCGGCCCATGGGCAGCTTCGCAGGGGCGCGTCGTGTGCGCAGCCAAGGGGCACCTCATTTTGCCTAGGAGAAGAAATGTGAAAAAATTGGATTCTGTGACCTATCACTTTGGGGCTGACGAGGTTGTTTCTGAAAATTACCCAGAAATCACTCTGTTTTGAAGCTCTAGGTCCAAAGTGTTCTGACGACTGCAGGGCAGAACACAACCTGCAGTGCGTCGTGAGGAGCAACAGGAGCGCGGCCTGCCTGTGCTTGCCGGGCTACCAGAAGGACCAGCGAGGGGTCTGCCAAGCGTAAGAGAGACCGCTCCTTTCTTATCTTGCCGCAGCTGGAGCTTACGTGTGGGGTAAAGGATTAAAAGGGTCGAGCTTGCCACATGGCTTTAGGCCCAGGAAGCTGGTATGCTGGCATGAGGCGGTAGGCACAGGGCAACATCACCAGGGGCGTCACCGTCGGCGGTAGTTTTCGAACGTCCTCTGTGTGCTTGGGGCCGCTCTAAGTAATGCCTCTCCCACAGCGACACCGTCAGGAATGTCGCGGCTCCCCCCATTTTCAGCTGAGGAAACTGCAGCTCAGAGAACATAAGTGATTTGCCCCAGCTCACAGGGCAGCACCTAAGCGGAGAGCCGCAGGGCCTCAGGGCCCGAGGGGGACCCACTGTGCCCCTAACCCTCCCAGAGCTCCACGAAGGTGCTCGCCTGGAGAAGGGGACCGGAAGGAAGGAAAGGGGGGGGGGACCAGGGAGCGAGGGTGAAGGCTGGGTGGAGAGGGACGCGGAGGCCGGGAGAGCCCCCGCACGGCCACGCGCCCTGACCGCGGCCCCCTGTCGCGTTGCGTTTTAGGTGCGCCTTCGGCTACAGTGGAGTCAACTGCGAAGACAGTGAGTATAAACGTCTGCTTTGTCGTCAGGCACCTGAAAAACAAACATCAGTCCCATTCGGAGTTCAGTCCAGTCCCCTTTACGAAGAGGGAGGAAAATGTGCCTGTAGTTTGCCTTCTGGGTCGTGCCATCCGCCCCGTCCTTAGGCCGCAGGCCGCAGCAGCTTTGCCATAGGGACACCACAGAACTCAGCCCAAGGAGTGGGCTGCCACCTCTGGACAGGTCCCCGTCTGCCAAGGGCATCCTAGTGTTCTATTCATTTTCTCCATTAGCTTAAATATGCATTTTCTGCTACTAGAAAGGATAAAAGACCAGTATGTTCCAAACATGTTTGTGGTCGTGGGAGGAGAGCAGAACTAGGAACCCGACATCTAAATACTCAAACCTTTGCTTCAGAGCCGCTTAGTGGTTCAAGATGTGTCATCGCAAATTCAATTGCTTCATTTCCTCCCATGCCCCACACCCACCCACCAGATTATGACAGTACCTTTATATTTTAAATTATTTTATATTTAAAATTTTACATAATGAACTAAAGATCAATGAGTGACAACTCCGCTCCAACCTGGTTGCCCCCAGCTGATCGCGCAGGTCGGGCGGGGTGGGCAGGCAAAAGCAGCAGAGCTCAGGAGGGAGTGTGGCCCTCGGTTGAGGTCCCATTCCCCAGGAAGCCCAGGAAGCCCTGGCACCATGGCCTCTTGAGTTTATGGTCTTTTATCTGGCAAGCCTGCCTTTTCTGATTGAGTTCTGAAGATACAGTTGGTGTTTGGAGGTGGTGGGGAGAGGGTTAAAGGAGGTGAGGAACCCATCCAACCTGGCCCTGAAGGGATCACAGATGAGAGACTGATTGTCTTCACGGCCAGGAGCCCCTGGGAACACACGTACCTGTGCAGTAGACAGACAGTGCAGGCTTGCTTGTGGGATACTGCTCCTACTCCTCTCTCTTCCCTTTCAGAATTCGAGCTGATTCTCACCATTGTGGGCACCATTGCTGGAATCCTCATTCTTGGCATGCTGATTGCACTGATCTTCACGAGGTATGGAAAGCAAATGTCTCTGTACTGGGGTACAGTGCCACTGGCATTACGTTCTGGTTTCCAAACACACACAGCCTTTCCCAGGCGAGAGAAGGGAAGTAAGGCAAGGCTTCTCTAAAACCACTGAATTTTTTTTTTCTTACCTTCTGATTATATGAGCTGTACATGGTTCTGGAAGAAAAGCTGGAAAATAGAGAAGTGTGTAAAGGAGCAGAATAAAAAATCGCCCACAAAACCCTTCACTCTGAGGCAACTAACATTTTGGCGTATATCCTTCCAGGTTTTTCTCTATCTTTTGAAAGGATATTAAAAGCATAATTTTGTATTCTTTGTGTTTTAAAAGAATTTGCTGAGGTTATTTTTGCTTCACACTATAATGTGACATGGCAACTGTTTTCTTATGTCATAAAAACTCTTTGTTAACAGTATTTAACTCCACTAATGTTGTCAAATGTCATTTTCATTCAGTCCTCTGCCCAGGACCTTGCTGAAATCAGCCTCAGCTGGAGCCCCCTGTTTTAAGTAGAAAGTTTTCTCTGTGTGCAGTTTCTCAGCTAGGGGCCTTAAGTGTTCTTCTTAAGAACTTAAGTTGGGCCCATTCATTTATTCAACAAGTGTTTAGATATCCTAGAGTCCCTTCATTAACAGAGAGAGAATGCTATTATCTATTCCACTCTAAATGTGCCAAATGGAGACCCACTTAGATAGAAAACAAGCTACTTTTAAAAATTAACATTTAGCTCATATGTTATATTTTGGCAAAATGGGTGTTTTTGCAATGTGAGAGGATAAGTAGATTTTAAGTTCCTAAAATGTTTTGTTTTTTCCCTTTTTAAAAATTTCATTTTGATATTAACTCTTCCCCAGAGATAATTATAAGGACACAAAGCAGGAGAGGGCCCAGAACATTCTGATCACGGAGCGAGGCTGCCTCCTCCTTTCCTGGAAGGACTGGCTCTCTCAGCCCGGCCTCCAGGGCCCTCAGGGGCTGCTGCAGAACCCTGTGACCCCGGGCAGCCACGCGCCCTTCTTTCTTTTGTTCTTAGCTTAGCCTCAGATTCATGGTTCCTGGGAACACACTCCAAAAGTTACTTCTTGCCCATTTCGAAAGGAAGGGAGCCTCTTCTCAGGCACCTTAGACAGGAGTGTTGTCGAAGGGCAGGAACTCTGTTGTGGGCTGGGCTGGCCATCAGGATCCAGGGTGAATGGGTCTTCCTTTACGACATTCTCAGTGTGACTGAGGAAGAGTGACTGTCACCCTGGGAGGCCCTTGGGCATCATGGATGTAGCCAGACCGCACCCCCCTTCCTACAGTCTAGGGCACTGCAGGGGCAAGTCCATGGCCTGGCGGACAGGAGGAAGAATGGGGTCACAATCAGGGTTAACTGGGGCAGATGTCTCTCTCACCTGCAAGAACATTACCTTGGCCTTAAATGCTTATCCTTGAGAGGCCAACACTTGAACTTGTTTCATCCACCGAGGTGCTTCTATAGACATTGACTTTGCTTGAATGTAAAATCATATCACAAATCATCTTTTCTCTTAGACTTCTATTATTATTTCCATAAATAACCCCAAAGCACACTTAAGAATACTAACATAAGCAAAATTTACACAGGCTGGTGGAATTAGATGGTAATGTTGGATCAGTATTAGCCTTCTGGTTTTGATGGTTACATGAAGCTTGTGAGGAAACTGTTCTTAAACTTAGGGACTCTACACTGAATGAAGTAATGAAATATTATGGGTAATGGGTCATCAGGTCTGCAACTTATGCTTAAATGGTTCAGAAGTGTTAACAGTTGGGGAATCTAGGCGATGATGTATGAGAACTCTGCAATAGTTTTTTGGTAACTCACATGTAAATTTGAAAATATTTCCAAATAGAGTATTAATATTAACATTTGCTTTCAGGAACTTTCTGCCATTGTCAGATCCTAACTCCTTTACTAATTACAGATCAAAGAAGAAACGGGGTATTGAAGAACAGAACTTGATTGAGAACGACTTTAATGGTCTGAGAATGCAGCAAACCACGGACTTCAGCAATCTAGGAGCAAGAGCAGGAGGGAGCATCTTCCCTAAAGTCCGAGCGTCTGTCCCCACGAGCAGCCAGATGCAGAATCCCTACGCACAGAGGGGCATGCCCCGCCCTGACTACTAGGTGAGTCAGTGGCTTTTCTGAGTGCAATGCCCAAGGCAGAGTAAGGACCTGGTATTGTGTCTTCACCTAGCCCTTGCTGCCTTGCAAGCCTTTTTGTCTTTTTAAATCAAAAGAGAAAGGGCAGAAGAAGCTCTCTGCTATTGTAAATAGCTACCACTTGGTCCCTAACACTGACCATCTTTGGGACTTTAGCTATGTCACTTAATTCCTAGGCCATCTATTTCCTCAACTGTTAAATAAAAATAAATAAAGCAAGCAAGCAAGCAACAACAGCAGCTTAATTTAGATTTCTTTAAGGCCCCTTGAAAATACATGCTTCCATGGCTATGACTCCTGTGGTTGTGTGGGGTTGAGTTATAATTCCCAGGCTGTTTAAGGACCCAGGACATAGGTGGGGCCCGAGGAAGACTGTTGGGTGTACACATGGTCTGTGGATCCTTTCCAGCCAGCCCATGTAAAGCTCTCCTTTCCTTCCCCCAGACTTCAAGGCAACTGAGCACTTTCTAAAGAGCCAAGGCCAGTTAGGCCGACGGTCCTTAATTTCCCACAGAAGGGCTGTGGCGGAGAATAGCTCCTACTCGTTAGATTTGTATTGGATCATCGTGGCTGGCCTTGCTCGGGGTGACTGGCCCAAAGCAAAGGCTGAGAGTAGGAAGCCTGAGAGAGGCAACACTTGTGGGGCGAGTGACCAGGGGGCTGAGATGGATGGAAGAGCGATGGGGAAGGAAGAAGGCAGGGGGGCCAGAGAAGAGCCAGGAAAAAGAAGGTGAGGAGAGAAATGATTTTTTTTTTTTTAACTAAACAGGAAAGACAAGGGGAGAAAGGGAAAGAAGGAAGGGCTCGAGTGAGGCATGCCCAGAAGAGTTGAAAAATAAAGAGGATGGGGGGAGGGCAGGCATGGCCCCTGAGGTCTCCGTGGGTCCACTGGACGTCCGCGGGCTGCCCAGCTGAGCGCACTGCCCTTTTAAGGATCTTAACACACTTTGAACATGCTGGGAAAACTTGGCCTATTTTTATTTTGAAATCCTATGGTTTATGTTGCCCAGAAACTTTCCTTTAGTCAAGGAAGTCTAAGTGACCAATGTGTGTGCAAAGGGCTGACTGGCCCAATATGCACCATGTTGGGCCAGACACGGGGCCTCGCCAGCAATATTAAAAAATGGGTGTTCTGTTGGTCCCACCTAAGGTGAGCCTTAACTACTGAACCCATTAAAAACTTCTTTTCCTCCTTATCAGTGGAGCCTTCACTTTAACTTTGGGATAAGTGTGGGATTTAGATTCCTAGAGACCTGGGCTCAAAGCCTCGCCCTCCCTGTTACTACTTGCTGTGTGATCTCGGACGAGTTATTTGACTTGTCTGGGTTTGTTTTCTCATCTATGAAATGGACAAAATGCATCCTACTCATAGGACAAAGATCTAGCAGAATGATAGATTCTGATTTAAAAATAGTACTCAAATGATGTTAATTAAGTTAGGTTAATAATTTATGAATCTACATTTTCTCTTGGGTTTCTATTGGAATGCTGCTTTTCTAAGAGTTTTTCTTTTCCTTCTCTCTTTCTCTCTTTTTGTCTAGGATGGTAAAAATTTGGAACCATCCATGAAGCATCCAACATATGAGCTTTTATTTTGATGAAGAGACTGGTGGAGAAGTGAGCGGCAGTGAAGATGTGGCCTTTGGAGTTGTTATTGCATCTGACACCTCTCTCTCTGAATGAAAGTCTTGAATGTTTGCAGTGACTACATCTTGTTTGCTAACCAAGTACCTATGAAATTAAATGCACTTAGATGCTATTAGCACTTGTAAGACAGTTGGTTTTCTGTAATCAGTACAATGGTCAGGGTTTTGTTGTTATTGCTGTTTTTTCTGGTGGGCAACAATAACCATTTTCAATCTAGAGGAAAGTCTCCAAGGTTGATTACTCCTGGGAAAACATTGCTCTTGAGTTGATAGCCTGCAGATAAGTGACCTACGTCTGGGAGACTCTGACACATCAGCTGTGGAAGTCCCAGGGTATTAGAAGAGATACCATCTTTTAAGGTTCTTCTATTCCTTAGCTGTAGGGATTTCATTGCCCTTGAATTGCAAGAAGCTTGTGACCTGGTCTCACGCCAAGAAGAGAGAAAAATGACATGTCTCCGCTTTTTCAGGAGGAGTGAATCCAGGACCTTTTTGTTCATTAGGTTTGGACTATAAGTGTCCATCATGGGTGCATTCTAGAGTTTTCGAAATGCCAGTAAGTGGGAGAGGCAGGGAGGAAAAAACAAAAACGTGACCAGGAGCAGGAAGAACAGAGGCAGAAGGAAGCTGGATTGAGAGGATGAGTGAGGGACAAGGTACACAGGACCTACCTTCGTCCTCAGATTCCCCTCCTCAATGAGCAAATGGGCACTTCCTCTAATGCATCCCCTACCCAAGACTTAGAGCCTAGGAAAAGTTGTGGAGACAGAAACCCCAGGAGCAAGAGCTTGAAGTCACTTTGAAGTTGCAGACATTCGGTCTGGCTGATGGTGGGAGAGGGAGCTTATGCTCTGGACCTGATGTCCAGCCTTGTGATGCAGATTCCAGAGGCCCATCACTGAGGCCTCAGCCTTCCCTGGCGACCCAGGCTTAGCTATGGCCACCAACACATACACAGCCAAGAATGGGGGCAGCCACATGCAGCACGGACTTTCTTTAATATTAATAGTGTCCTTATTTATGTCTAATGTCTGATCCCCTTGCAAGTTTTTATTTGTTGTTATTGTTATTTGTTCTTGACTTCTTGTGAAAGGTAACAAATAAAGTATCTTTGGTAGATGGTGTCCTTGTGTTCGGGGCTTTTGGCGATGCACAAAGCAGTAAGTCTCACTCTCAATAGCAACCATGACACATGGAAAACTGGATTGACATCTGCTGTCCCTCCTCAGTGGCTGTTTAACAGGCAGCAGATATCTTCTGCTGCTTCCTGGTGCACATCCCACTCCCCTCCCATTATGAAGCAGCCGAGCCCTGCAGGTGGGACCGACTGGACCCTCATCTCCCAGGGGTGGCCTTTGGTTGGCCTGAGCCAACCAGTGGAATCCCACCCCCCTTGCCACAGTGACTGACTGAAGAGTGAACACCTGGCATAAGTGGATGCAATAAGAATGAAGCCCAAACTCTGTTAGGAGGCTTGGAGGAAGAGAAACTTCTGGAGAACGGGCCTGAAGATGTAAAGCCTCGAACTGCTTCAGCTTTGCTGAGCTAACACATAGAGGGAGGACAGAGCTGAGAAAACCACAGAAAATGGAGGTGGAGCATATAATCAGGCCACAGCTCAAGTTTCTGGACTTTATTGTTAGGCCAGTTTGAGTACAGGCATACTTCGAAGATGTCATGGGTTCGCTTCCAAACCACTGCAATAAAGCAAGCTATAATCTTTTTGCTGGTGAAGGGTCATGTTTTCAATTTGTAAAAAAATGCAACACTACCCTGGCCTGTTTGGCTCAGTGGTTAGAGCGTCGGCCCCCAGACCAAAGAGTCCCGGGTTCGATTTAGGCCAAGGGCACATACCTCAGTTGCAGGCTCAGCCCGGTAGGGGAATGAGCGGGAGGCAACCAATCGATGTGTCTCTCTCACATCGATGTCTCTCTCTCTCCCACTCACTCTGAAAGAGCAATGGAAAAAATATCCTCAAGTGAGGATTAAAAAAAAATAAATGCAGCACCTGTGAAGTGCAATATAGCAAAACAAAATAAAATGAGGTAAGCCTATTGTAGTTTTCAGTTTTGCAAGTTGAAAGTATCCTCACTGATTCCACTTGTGTTTACTCTTGTGTTTGCAAGGCTAGGTGGTGAATGGAATAAAAGAAATACACTCTTATGAGCTACTAATGCCCACAGGGAAGACATTAGCCACCAACCAATCGATTAACAGCAGGAGAATCAATGCAGACATAATTTAATATTGTCTAACACTGTGACTTGTAATCATAGACTTTATTTCTGACCTGCCTGTTATCTCCTTTATATTTGAAGATGGTTCTGGATTCAGTGCTAAAACTAGGCTATTTGAACCTGTTTTCTAAAGAATCCACTTCCCTGGTGCCCCTCTGCTCCAGAGCAGGCAAGCTTCCATTGCTTTTAAAAGGTCCTGAGCCATACAAACTCTAGGCTTCACAAACCAGAGTACCATCCATTCTTCAGAGACTTTCATCGCCATTGTTTAAATAAAAACAATGCTCTAAATAAGTATATAGGTAATGTTTATGAAAATAGCTTTCGCATTCAAAATGGCTTTTGATTCTTATATAATATGGCCTACAATTCATTTGTTTCTGCTAAGACCTTTGCAGAGGTTTTCCAACTGCTTGTCCTGCAGCCTTGGAGGGCTGTCAGAATGAATGTTTAAGATGCAGATCTGATCATGACACTCCCTTGTTTAAGGCTTGCAGGGTTCTCCAGGAGAGAATAAAGCTCATAGAATCAAGCCAGACTCCTTAGGGCTCATCACTCCTTGTCCTCTGGCTGTTGCCACCAACTGCTCCCACTTTGCCTCATCCCCCCCCCCCCAAGGGCACTAACACTCTGGCCACACCTGCTGCTACCTAAACATAAGGCCTCTTCAGCCTCCACTCTGCTCGCGCTGTTCCCTTCGCTTGGACTGCTCCTTCCCTTCACCTGCCCTGTAAACAGCTCCACCTGTCTAGATCAGCTACACCGCCATCTCTTCTGACCAGCTTTTCCTAATTTTCTCTCTGCAGCACTCCCAAGTAGAAGTAGGGTCTCCTTCATGGCCCAGGGGGTCCTGTGACCAGTTCCCGCAAGGAAGAGGTTGTGCATGGTGAGTCTGTGTTTCCTTTAAACCCAGCACAACGCCTGGCATAGAATGACTTAAATAATTGTGAAACAGGAGTATCGAACTGGACTCTTCCAGCTCAGTCTTGAAGAGTATGGTCCTTATCTTGTTGTGGGGATGGTTTCACGGTTATATCAAAACTTGTCAAATTGTACACTTGACATATGTACAGTTTATTGT